TTAAGTCTCATAAAGAAAACTCTCTAATATACTATGTTAAAAACCCTAGTGGACAAAATTTCAGGCAGAAAAGAAAACTTTATTAATGTATGAGTTCTATTGATTAGTTTCACTCTAAAGCTTCTCTGAATTTGGATTTAACTGCAATCAAACTCTGTATGTTTTTTGGCAAAGACACAGAGAATAAACTAGCGCCCTCCAGGGTGAATGCTTGTGTACACTTGATCTAAGAAGTGTCTCTGCTACCCAGTGACCACATCAGTGATGCCACCTCTCCAGCTCTACTACATTTTCTGTCTCCTTCTGGGTGTTGTAAAGGTTTACACTGTCTCAACCTACCATTTCCCACCTCTACAGAAGGTCTTGTTATGCAGGGAACAACGACAATGTTCAAAATGCTTTCACAGACGACCTTTTCCCCTTGGCAGAATAATTTGTCAGAAAATTTTCTGAGAGCAGTCCCTAGAATTCCATCTTTGGAGGGTCTGTGTTTTGAACTTGCCCCCTCAGTAGAAATGAAATAAACTTACCCTCACACAATTTGATTCTGAGGACTTAGTAAAGACTTAAGAGACTCAAGGCCACGAACTGAGCTGAAAACTGTTAGGCCTCCAAGAAATCACTGAACACTAGAAAAAAGTCAGGACGTAGTATGTACCCACACCTAACTGCCCCCACTCACAAGTCAGGGGACAGAATCAACAGCCCAGCCACAAGTACAAACAGAACACTGAGATCGTCAATAGAAGGTAATCAGAGTTGGGTTGGGGCAGTGAAACTTGGTTTTCAGAGGAAGGAGCCATTAGTCATCAGAGAAGGCTGGGAACATCAGTTCTTGTTAGTGAAGCCACTCAGGAATGAGTGTGGTGGGACAGAAGGGCGACTGTGACTGTGTTGAGAGGACTTGGATATGACAATAACAAACACCTGTGGTTCACTGACTAGAGGTGTCTTTGCAAAAACAGTGTGTATCAACTATTCTAGAGTGTAGAACAGAAGAGCCAATTGAAAAGTTGTAACAGAAAATCTTTTGCTAAAAAAAATCACAAAGCTCTTTACAACATTTTCTTATAAATTAGTAATAGCAAAGACTTCTCCACTGGGAAGACTACATGGAGATTCTACACTATGGAGGGAGGGGTGATTGCCTCAGTGTCTTCCCTAGCCTGCACCTGGGGCACGGACCTAAAAAATTTACATTATCCATACTCATACTTGTTTCATATCCAGTTTAAGTGTCTGATTTTTGTTTTAAACGCATCACAGTAGCTACTTCTCAAGGCAGGCAATTCCATATGGCATGAAGGGGTAGACAGAAGAAAAATAATCTTTTCTTCTGGGGGAAGTTCAAGGGAGTAAAAAACTAGAGTGTGACCACTGGTGACTGCTTATAAAGGATGTAGCTGAATTTTAAATTGCATATCCATTGCCCATGCATTGTGTAGCTTCTCAAACCTAAACAAATCTCATAACTAAACTACACTGCTCTAGTTTCTTTGTTATTTTATAGATGTCTATGTGTATTTTTTGGTACTGAAAGCAGAAGACTTGGAAAAAGCCTGATAAAACCCAGTCCTTTATTTTGTGTGACAGAAGGAACCCTATAAACACAAACACAGCAGCGTACTTCCTTTTGTTGACAACCTTATGATTGCCCCTTAACGCATTGTTTAGAATACCAATTACATGTCATTTCTCATTATCCTACACACAGAACCAATGCCACATAGCCATTGCTTTTCTTTCCAACAACCGATCACAAAGAATATATAAGGGATTCACGTGCTGGTGAAACATGTCAAGATGGACAGCCCAGAGCCTAAGAGCTCTGTTTACGTACCGAACAGGTGTGTGGCCAGGCAGCTAGGGTGAAATCTTCCCTCCACCTTCTCAGGTTCCCTCCCTTACAGGGCTCTCTGCTGGGTTGAGAGAGAGAGTGGCTTTGGAAGAACCTTCTTTCCCAGCTTGCTTTCTTATGCCAGAGAAGACTGGCTCACTCTCAAGGCTGCAAGCATTTGACCACTGCAAATAGCAGTGAGCATGTCGACTCGTTTTATTCACATCCCTCACTAAGGAATCAGAAAGCCAAGGACACACTGGTGATTGCCCCGGTTTTATGGATCTCTCCTCCCCTCAGGCCTGCAACACATTTTTGGTTCTTGTGTTCACAGTGTCCTGGCATCTGTAGTGTGGGAAACCTTCACTGAGAGCCAATAGCCCCACAGCTTCTCCCTATTAAAATGTGCAATTGGATTTCACATGCATGTTTCAAACACCATTCAAGGCATGATTTACAGGCTACTGTCTAGCCCCACAGCTGTTTTTTTATCCCCCAGAGTTAGCCGTTCCTAGGAATCTACCACTCAGCTCCCTAGCAAACAGTCCTCCCATTTCAACCTCCTCAGTCATTCTTGGGCATCCAGAACCTATGCACGGTGTATATTGTAATGATTTCAAGAAAATATTTATTGTGCAAATAAACTATTCATTATTCTTTCCAGAGAGCTATTTATTCATGAGAATAGTCCACTGGATGCCTTCTTTCTATTTACCCCACCTTCTAACCAAGCTTTTTTAAATCAAATTACACTAATCATTGTCACCCCATTGATATGTTATTGATATACATTAAAAACAGCCCAAGTTCCTGGAACTGTAATGTAGGCCTCACTAAACAGTTACCACCCAAGGACTTTCAGAGTCACTATGTTTCTCCGCAAGAGGGGAAAAAAAATCACTTTTATACATTGCAGATTATCTTTTGGGGCTGAACAGACAGGAGATCTGTGTTATGCAGTTATTAAACATCACCTATCATGTTTCTGTGACCATCCCCCCCCCAAGGTCCTAACCTGGTCCAGCATCAAGAATCACCCCCAGGAAGGTTGAGCCTGAGGCTTAGGGTTACAGTTAGCTCAATACCATGCTGACAGTACCTTCTGAACTGTTGACTTTAAGCTATGCGGAGGACGAGAATGGTAGTGTACTTATGGTTCTTTGGTGCACAGCATAGATCCTGGCAGAGAGAATGGACTCTAGAAATGGACTGAACTCAGCTCTTCTTAGCCTATGCAGAAGAAGATGATCGGTGCAGTGACTAGTCTGTGGGGCTGCCTTGTCTGTGACCAAGACTCGCCTTCCATGGAAGAAGGACAAAGGAAAAAGACGGGATGACATTGAGAGAAATGTCTCAGGGAAAACCTCTGATGGAAATGGGGTTTGGATGGTCGATTTCATCCAAGTGGCTCCAGAAGTGTAGCTTCCATTTCAGATGAAAGCAATGAATTAAAAATCATGTTAATAAAGATGTTATAAATTTATGTCAAGGTGTATTTTGCCCTTTTGTGCAACATACCCATCTTTTCCAATGAACACTCTCAAATTGCAAAAGGGATATTTTCCATAGACTCTCACATGTACTCTCCCTTAAACCTAGCTTTAAGACTACATTTTCCTGGAAAACACCACCGCGAGGCTTCCTCCTCCACTTAAACCACTACACAACAGATGAGGAGACACTGTGCTCCTTACAATCCAGTCATAATAACAAGCCTTCTTCGTTAAATAGAAGTCCGTTAACATATGAATACCAATAAGGACCTGTTGTTTTTAGCATAGCATTTAATGATTTTGCCAAAGGAAAACCCACCAAGTTCTACAACTCAATAAAGGCAGCTTTTAGTTTCAGGACTTACCTTTTCCCCCTACAGTTGTCTCCATACAGGCCTCATGAATGAAGATTACTCATTTACTCTTTTGAATAATCTGATAATTGACATGTCCAGTTGTCAGATCTTCAGATTACCTGGAAAGCCTATCTTTTTAAACCCTTACATTAAAAATAACCCCAAATTCATTCTTGTTACAAATGGTCCCAGAGGCCAGAACTTCAGTCAAAGGGTAAAAACTGCAGAAATAAAATGACTGTTTAAAATACCTACTATGTGTCAGATGTTATATTAGCCATTTTACATGTATACCTTGTTTCATAATCAATTAAGGTAAATATCATTCTCCAAGTTTACATAAACAGAAGCTAATACTGCCCACAAAAAAACACAACTGGGAGAGAAGCAAGCTTCAAAGCCAAGGCTTTGTTGCGAAGAGCCCATGAATTAGCTTTCCAGTCCACTAAGCTCCTCCCAAGAACGTAACAGTAGATCTTGGGTACAGTCAGTTGCCTGACCAGTATTCAAGTGAGAAATATTCAAGCTGGTGGTAGATACCTGGTTACTAGAGATGCTGCAGAGATCTGAACATCAGAGGGGCACAGAAGACTCTAAGGTCATCTACCTCTCTAAGAATTTATAGGCTTCCTCCTCTCCTAAGCACCCCATTCTGCAGCCACCTAAGGTGAGCTGAGTAATCAAAACACTTCTGTTTTTTGGTCTGATCAAAACACTAAACCATCCCTTTGCTCACTATGCCACACCTGTATGGCTTCCTGTATTTCTTCTGAAGCTCCCTAGCTGGGCAGTTAAACTCGCTTCCTAACAGAAGCTTCTCAACACCCTTCAGCTCTAAGAAATCACTGTGTTATACTTGCCCCATCCATTCCTACCCTGCATCCTGAGTAGTTAACTCACAGATCTGGCATTTCTATACGCTTCATGGTACATTTTTTTTTAGGACAAGACAGAACATAATAAGTAAATAAGTAAACAAAGCAGTTGACCTGCCTGGCATTCCATCCACTTTCTTGCTCGCAACCACAAGGGAAGAATCCCAGCATCAGTTCACCCCACACGATGTGCCCATCCCACCAAGGCTCGCGAGTATTGGGCTTTTCCCGTTCTTCCCTTGCCACAGCACCAGATGCTCGCCGAGTTCACTTGTCCTTCCCACCCCATTTCTCTACTGTTCCAACATTTTCACATTTCTTCCTTCACTTGAACCATCATGTGTTTGTTACGATTTTCCTCTAGAAAGAATGACTGGCAGTTCATCCCAGCCCACCTCAACCTTAAGTGGTTAATTCTGGCTCGGAAGCCCACTTTTACCATTAGAGTCTTCCACTTCCTCCGCCGGGGTAGCTTTTTGGGAGGAGTGGTGGGCATGCGAGGAGAGAAGGCTGACAATTCGTGGCCTGGGGAGGGTCAGGGCTTTTCCATGGACCTTGAGGGAGTGTTCCTTCAACTGGCTGATTGTCATGGTGGAAAATGAGCACCAAGAACACTTGTAGGCATGTTCACCTGGAAGAGAAGGGTGGTAAGGGACAGACAGAATGGAAGAAAGAGGGAGGAAGGGCGTCGGGTGGGGTGGGAAACAAAGTAACACAGTTAGTTCACTCTGCAGAAGGGCTTCTCAAGCTTCCTGGTCTAAGAAGCCTCATGGACCCACTGCCTGCCCATTCCCACCACCACAGTGCTCCTCCAGATTGAAACTCTTCAACAAGCTCCAAAACCAAGTGACCTGCTCCCTTTTCATTTCCTGCTCTTCTTACAGGGATAAGCCTATGGGTTTGATTCTCCAACCGGGAGTGAAACCAAGTGTCTATGATACGTCTGTCAGAAAGTTCCCCAATCTCTTTCTTCCTCTCTCTGCTAGAAATGACCATGTCAGTTTTCATTCAAGGTTGCTTTTTATCATCTGCAGAAAATGACATGCTTAATTCTTATCCGAAGGTTTATCAGTGGCTTTCTAAGCACAAAGCCGCTCAGTGTAAACTCTATTGTGCTATTCTCATTCTTTTATTTCTTTGCTGACTCTACACCTTCCAGCTTCCATGTATCTAAATTTCATTTTTTGGGGGGAACCACTTCACAAACCTCAGCATAAAAAACTCCATTTCCCTATCTAATCAATACTGCAAAAACAGGTAAAGATATTTCTGTAACTGAGAAAGAGTTGTGAATGTATAAATGTGTGTGTATGTGCATGTGTCTATCTCCAATATTCTTCAATTAACAGGACATTAAGTAAAAATAAGTGTCTTCCTTTTACTTACTTTTATACCACCAAAATACTGCACAGATCACTATGACCAAATTAAATTAGAGTGTGATTTACCTGAGTCCTAAGTCAGCTTTTAAATTAGTTGCATTTTAAGAAGCAAGGGTATGAAATGGTCATGTGTAGGTTGCCCAACAGATATCCACTAGTTTGAACAACTCAGACAGTGGTCTGCTTTTTATGACAATAAGTTAGAATGTTCATGCCTGTAACTCAGTAACAGCACTTCTGAGAGTTTACATGAAGGGACTATCCTTTAATACACAGAAAGCTTTATTTAGCAATATATTTATGCTTGAAAATGGTATGAAACAACTTAAATTTCCAATCAGAGGCAAATGATTAAGTAAATGTGGGCAAATCTTCTTGGTGAATACTCATTCATTGAAATAAGCTCTCGAAGAGTTGTGGTAACAGAAAATTATGAAAAATGAAATACTTATACTCAGAAAAACAGAAAGGCGTAATACATTTTAGATTAAATTATGATCACAATTGTTCAAAATTATTAGAGAGGAGACAGCAGAAAGGAAACATCAAATGTTACCAACAGTGGTCTTTCAGTAATAAGATGATGGGGGGCTGGCTGTATTTCTTCTTTCATTTCCAAATTTTCTCTAATGAACAGGTATTTTTTAATTCATTTTTAAGGTGACAATTAAAAACCAGAGACAAGGAAAGAGAAAGAAGTAGAGACTAAGAGGAAGAAATGATCATCAGTAATGAGAGTTTTGTGGACAGCGAAGATGAACTGAGGACAGGGCTAGAGCAGCAGTGAGAAGGCAAAGCCCTGCCCTTGCTTTTACACAGCTGAGGTGGTTACTTCCCTGCTGCCTTGGAAATTACTAAATGGTTTCACACGTGCAGTGAGCGCGGCATCCCACGTTCTGCATAAGCCTCCCCTTCACCACTGATGACTCCCAGAGCACACATTTCCCAGAAAGCCCTTGATGATACAACATGCTACAGCCCAAGGTAGAAGGGCAGTTCAAAGAGGTCAAAGGTGGCTGTCTCTGAGCCATTACCTAGGGCTTAACAGGAGAATGCTGGGCACTATCAATGACCAATGGTATTATATAGCATAAGAAATATACATATATACAGTATTACATATACAATAATATATATTTGTATTAATTATTGTAGATAACACTACTGCCCTCCTTACCCCAATTTCCAATTTGTTTAATGCAAGCCTGGCTCCAGGAACCTTGTTGGGTAGCATAACACTCAGAACTCAAATCCAGATTATTTGGTTAGTCTACATGACTTTTCATCCTTTAAAATAAAATCAAGTAAAATAATCCATTGAACAGACAAGATGAGTCAAGAGTCCTGGGGAAAAAACTGTACTGGTTTTCTCCAAGCCAAGCCACTCTCAGTGGCTAAGAGCCATGTCACGGACACCAAGGTTCCAGGGTGTGTAGAGAAGCGAATCATACTGTTCCCGCTCTCTCTTCCCGGATGCTTCCCTCATACCAGCCAGTGAGCACAGAAGGTCAGTCTGCTTGGTCAGCTCCTAGAACATCATCTGAGCTCGATGCCCTGGGGTAAGCATACAGTCTCTGGCACTCGTTTCAAGTCCTTCCCACAGGCCAAACCATTTACCCAGCTCCCACTATGATTACAATATACAGAGGTTAAAGACTGGTTTGAACCCAGAAACCTCTTACTCCATGCAGTTCTGCAGAATTTTGTGGAGGTATAAAAATACTGACAGAGGAAAGCCCATACAGCAAATCTCCCTGTCCCATTCCTTAAGCCCAGGGTACTTTGGGCAGCTGGAAGGCCGGAGCAGTTTTACTCCATTAGTCAGTTCAACCCAACTTCAGGAAAAGCTGTCCAAACCTCTGAGAAGGCCACAGGCGGCTGCGGAGTCGGACTCCTGACAGTGACAGGGATCATCGTAAGGAGACCACCAGGTTCCTCTCCACTGCCTTTCCGACTTCTGACCTCTGCCCTCCCCGGGCTGAGTTCTGATTAGCTACCTGCGGGCATCCTCTATCATATGCAAAGTGGAGAAGAACAGAAAAGAAAGAGAGACAGTGTCTTATCTGTGATGAAGATACAGGTTTTTGTTCTGGAGTCCAGTTCTTAGTGAATGGGTGATGTGGTCTTAAACAGGTCACTTGATTTTGAGTATCCATTTCCTCACCTGATACTTTGGGTGACACAACCACTTACCCTTTAGGATGGTCAGGAGGATTAAAATAAGATGAAATAGCGTGCTCAGTGCAGAGCCCGATGAGATGGAACCACAGAGTGACAGAGCTCCGCATAGCTCTCAGGTACTTGTGAACCAAAGTCGTTTCTTATCTAGTGTGTGGAAATGTATCTTAGGGCTTCTCATGAGGAATCTTACACATCTTTAGTTCTCTTATCCCTCTGAACTTCTTCAAGATTGCAACTTCATTTTAGTTGGGAATTATCTTTAGTGGTTGTATCAATTCTTGCATTTCCATTAGAGAGGCTAGGTATTTTAGAAATTTCTCTAAAAGACAAAACCTGTTGGTAGCATGAATCAACTATGACATGGATGACGTTGGCTTGGTATTACTTTGTCTTGAGGCGAGTCTTAATTTTCTGTTTTAGGTCAGAATAAAACTGAATATATAAGCATCTCAAGAATAGCTTATTCTCATGTGTGGGCCAAGAGGTTTTTAAAATTTCACTCAGTAAAGATCACTGGATTTCAAACTCAGAGAACTAGTGCATCGTGAATACCAACTCACCAGCATGAGCTTTGAGTATATGCGTTTTCAGCCGGCTGTTATATGAGGACTTGAAGGAGCAGAGTTTGCATCGGAATGGTTTATGGTGTCCGTGGTGGGTTTGCATATGGCGATCCAAGCTGGATGTAGAAAGAAAAATGAAGAGAAAATGATAGGATTAAAAAATTGCCCTTTTCCATCTCTAAGCTGTTTGTTTTGTTACTTTCCAATGATTTGTTTTACCTACTCTAAAGGACAGGAAGCTCAAGGAAGTAGTCAAAAGTCTTTTTTGGATTGAGAGACACGGCATTGCTAACAGGTCTTGGTAAACACTACTTTTCCCTTCTCTAGAAGCACTGATAATTTGAAAAGGGCATCCAAAAAGGAAAGGTAAAATATGGGTGAATTCAAGTTTTCTGCCAAGTCAGTGAAGAATAGCCCTTTATCTTGTTGAAAAAAAGAATAGGAATCAGAGAAATTCTGCATTTAAAAAGGGCTGAGTTTCTAAATCTTAATCCCATGTTCACCATGAACACTCGAGTCGGGAAGGGTTTTAAAGTGGTTGAATGACAGGCAACAGGCTATATTTCCAAGGTCTTTGCAAATATGGAAGCAAAGCACAAGCAGGTTTAAAGGCTGTCATGTGACCCAAAGGCTGGTCATCCCTTCTGATAAATACAACCATGTTTGCTGTATATCAGTCTTCCAGAAGCAACTTAGAAGGAAGTTATTTAACTATAGGGAATGATCAGTATTTCATAATAATTACTAGTCTAAAAAATAATCAGTCTACTAAACAAGGTGTGGGAAGAAGTTCTAATTTGTATCAGTACCCCAGAGAACTCAATTCCTTTCTAAATACTCATATGGGAATGATACTGCTTACCATCTAAACGCATGATGTTCTCTTGAGCTCCACAGCAGTGCTTCGAGATGTCTCTGGACATCTCCCTCTGGCTGCCCTTTAGCTATCTGAAACTCAACTAGCTCTAAACAAAACCATGATTTTTTTCTCCACAACAAAATCTCTTTTTCATTTCCTCCTTTCTCTAAGGAGCACTACCATTCCCAGTCGACGAGACCGGAAACCGAGGTGCCATTTGTACCCCCTATGTTAAGACAGTTTTTCCAAGTCATGAAGATTCTAGTTCCCTCAACCACGGCCAGAATTCCACCCTAACTTCTCGGATCAGCTACCACCACTGCCTCCTCATTGATTTCCCCCATCTTTTTTTCAACCCAACAGCATCAGAGTCAGATGCCGGGAATCAAATCCCAGCTATTACTTCTTATAAACTGTGTGGCCTTGGGCAAGTTAAATAATCTCTCTCTACTAAAGGGCCTTACTTTTCCTATCCATAAAATGGAGATAATTATGGCCTGTACCACAGAGGGCTGTTCTGAGAATAAAATAATACTTGAAGAAGCTTAGGAAAGTGCCTGGCACATAGTGGAGCTCAATACATGTTAGCAATTATGACTTCAGTCATTTCAGAGGCTTTCTTTTACCAGTAATGAAAATTCCAAAGTACTAATTCTGTATTTGGAGACTCCAAATATGGTCTCAAGTGTTCAGACCTTATTTTCTACTGTTCCTTTAGATATAACTTAGATACCAGGAAACCGGACCACCAGCTGGACCCCATGGGCCTCTGTCTTCCACAGGCTTGCATTCTCTGGTCCTGCCCTCTACAGTGCATGCCCTTTCCACACCATTCAACTCCTATCTTCCTACTTTAAAACCGACTCGAATGCTTCCTGCTCTGTAAAACATTCCTGATTCTTGCAAAGTGGATGCCACATTTCCTTCTTTGAAACTTCATAGCGTTTTATTGATATATTTGTTAAAGACCAAATCATTTGTGTGCTTGCTTTCTTTATAACCCAACTAGACCCTAAAAAGCCTCAGATCACTGACCATGTCCTGCTCATCTTTATGTCCCAGCACAGTACCCAGCATAGGGCATATTCAGTCATTCACAATGATTTATCGAGGTTGTGCTGTGTGTCAGGAAACAGAGAGAGGCTGGTCAATAAAGACTTACTGAATTGATGAGAATACACAAGTTTTATGCCAGCGCATAGATCTGATGACCAGATTAGATATTAGGCTCTGTGTAGTAATTAAGAGTTCGTAACTCACCCTGTCCTCTGTAGAAGCACTGTCTCCTCCTGCCTCTCCACAAGCACTAATGAGCACTTTTTAAAAAAGCAAATGGTCCAACATCTATTTTCAATTACCATAAAAAGAAACCACATCTGTCTTACCATCAGTCCCCTTCCCCCAAGACTGTAGAACATGGTGTGGCATGCTTGTCTCTCTTAGACAGTTGAAAGAGAAAGGCACCACAGGTTTGCTCCTTCTCAGGACCATCCCTCTTCCTATCGCCCTGAAAGGCCTTCCTTACCCAACACTGCAAACTGACAATTTCAAAGCGGTGATGGGCTCCCTCTCAACCACCTGTACTTCAAGGCCCTCTCTTGGGTATCCATAAACTCCTTTCCTTTCAAGGTCTTTTTAAAAATACCAAGCCATGATTCCATGAGTCTTTGGTCACACGGGTTGAGTTGATGGTCCTAATTTTACCTCCTTAGCCATGCGATTTCCCAAATGAAACTTTACTTCGTCAAATGATGATAGAGTTCTGGATGTTTGACAGATGTACCAGTAAACACATCTACTATCTGGTCTTCCCTTGCATGAACTAGAGCAATACCTCCAAAACTGTCATTTAAAAAAAACGCCTGTTATCAGCCAAGCCTAATGTCAACCACATTCTTAGGCCCAGTTTTCAGATAAGGTGACTGAGGCTCAAGTTAACAGCCAACTAAGCAGGCAGGAATCTTGAGAGGGGCCTCTGACTCCCTAAGGCCGTCTGCTCTAGCCTGGCTGCCTTCCACTCTGACACTTCCTCCCAGTTACCACTTGCGACCCCTCCAGAGCACTTACTTGTGTCTGAAAGCAGAAACAAAGGAGCAATACTGGCAGCTGTACTTGTCCTCACGGGTGAACATGGCCAGGGCCAGATGGCTCCTCTCATGAGAACGCAGCCCCTGCATGGACATCAGGACTCGGTCACATTGACTACAATGGTATCCCCCCGGCCGGGTTTCATCTGCCAACATTCCATCAAGCAAGCAGTGTGCACCATCCACCCGGTCCACCAGGGTGCCGCCGGCATCTTTGGCAGCTTCCAGTCCATCCAAGAACAAGTGGGAAGGGTCCTCAGCCTCCTGCTAAGAGAACCACACACACACACATGCCCCACCAACAAAATAAATATCCATCATCGTAGCCCCCAGCTTTCCTCCTCTCCCTTCATGCTCCCAGATTTCTCAGTATGTCCTGGTAAGGCTTCCTCCCCTGCCTCTCCGGCTCCCTGACTGCCATTCTTCATGCAGTGGAGATGATTTTAAGGCAACATGTTCAGACATAGGTTGCTACTGCCTGGGAAACGTGAGAGGGGCTCTCTCACTCTGAAGACAGTTCACTGATTTATTTCCCATCTTAAAAAGAAAATTCTAATTGGGATCCCATCTAAACTGACATAAAGCAGGGTTAGGGTTACAGTTCAGAGACAAGGAAGGAAGGAAGAGGAAAAAGCAGAGTAGTTTGGTCATCTAGGAGTCTTGGGCCATCACTGGGAAATTAAGTGAAGATCCTTTCCTTTGCCGCCCCTGACCTGCAGATGATGACTTCACCCCTTGAATGAAGGTTGCTGTGTAATCAATCAAAAAAATTAAGGAGCAGACTGGCTTTAAGTTGCTTATGTGTCAAGGTGGCTCCTTGGATTACTGATTACCCAGGAAGAGCTGCTCTGTCTCCCTCGAGTGGTTCCAGAAAACATACCAGGGACACACCGCAGTGGCGTGGAAGAAGCTGATGCCACCGTGCCTGGGTGCCACTGCTCTGCAAACAGCCACAAGGCTTCAGTCTTCAAGAATAGCAGAGACTTAACCTCTATGCCACATTGGCAAAACAGGGTGCAAGATCAAGAAGCGCAGATGACAACAATATATTCACATAGCCACAGCCCTGAACTAACTTCTCTGCTCAAAAATGATTAAGTACTTAGCAATCTCCTGGAAGGCAGGGATGGTGGCTTGGTTATTGAAACAGTGGCTGCTGTTAGGATTATGTATGTTATTCAAAACAGGTGGCCTTATAATGGTTGTGGGAGAGGGAAGGCATTTGTCAGCAACATATGGGGAGAGGGGATGGAGGAAGCAAATCAGGTCAGCGGGCTCTCACGGCCAACTGTGACTTAGAGGCTTTCGTTTCAGATTTAGTGTTTCTCATGCTCCTCAGAGGACCCAGGATAAGAAGTAAGAGACAGATTCTCCTGGGCTATCTGGACCATCAGCCAGATGAGAACAGTAAGAAGTCAGGCAGTGGGAGGAGCAGAAGATGATGGGAACAGAACCCACTTGATTCGTCTCAAGAGCTCGGGTAACTCGGAAGAGCAAACACGTAATGGCACTAAATGCAGAACAGAAGGGCGACCCAAAGCCTCCTGTACCGAGAGGCCCGGATCTTCTGTTTCCGCCAAACTATCCACGTGGAAGGCAACCAGATCGAAACGCGACCGGGTCGAGACACGGAAGGTGAGGAAGGTCCAACCTGCAAAGAAATCAAAACAAGCCAGACCAATCCAAGCATAACTCAGGAATGCCCACATTCTGGGAGACCCTTTCCTGAGCTTCTTTGAGCAAGGGAGTTAATCAGTAACCCACAGGGCTCGCACACAGGAATGCTCATCCAGACCTTTTCAGTCCTCACCTTCACAGCGGCTGACACGGCGGGGACACTGCCATACTGGACATGCTTCCGGAGGTGATTGCAGATGGCTCGCAGCGTTGGGTGCACTTCCACACAGAATTTACATTTGTAGCCCACCACCTTCCTCTCCTTGATCTTTGGCACCTCTTCTAAGTGACCAAAAGGCTGGTAAAATACAGTGGTAGCCATCAGTACTCCGAGCCCGCCCTCGATTGCGGCATTTATTCTTGGAGCTTACTAGCACACTTTATTTTAAAGCAGATTGCAGGTTAAAAACTGAGGGAGAGCAACGTGAGTATTTTTACGTAACGAATTTGTGAGAGTCGCGGAGCACTGCCTACTATGCAAAGTCTCTGGAACCCAGACATGTTACAACTGGTGAGTAGAGAAGATTTCTGCGGAGACGCCTCATCATCACTGCCACCAAGTTATCTGGTTTTCCAGCCAATTTCAACTATGCAGGTGAGCCGTTGCACAGCTACGCCATTAGCGAACTTCTTGACCCAAAAAAAAAAAATCTACTCCTTGAGAGGTCGGGTTCCTGTAGTAGACACTGCAGACCAAGGCGTGGCTGAGAAGCGCTAGTGATACCAAGAGGTGGCCCACAACTGCCTTAGGTAAGAAAGAGCAAGCATTGTCGTGTAACTGGGCCGCAGATAAGGCTACCCTGCAGGAGGAGAGACAGAGAACCACCCCAACCCTCCCCTGGGGAGCCTTGTGGGGAGTGAGAGGGAGGCAACAGGACTATGGAGGAGGGAGAGCAGAGAATGGGGGATAATCGGGCTTGGGATGTTTAATTGACTTATTGACTCTCTGGCAAGCTAAGTCACTAGGAAGCCTGTAGTGCTCTGGCTGGCAGCGGAGACGTGCACGTGGGCACCAGTGACGAGAGGCCTCCTGGGGGAAGGGAAATCAAAACATATCCTTACCCTCTCTTGTTTGAAATCTGCAAATGCACCATCTGCATATTTCTGCTTGCTCAAAAGCTGTTTCCTCCTCTCCTGGCGTTTGGCACGCTTCTGGAATTCCTCATTGTGAATGTTCAAGTGTGAGGTCAGCTCTGCTGTGCTTTGCAGTTTGCTATCACAGTGCTTACACTGGTAGGCGGAGTTCTGCCAGCGGGAGCCGTTGCCCAGAATGACGAAGTCCCTCTTCAGGTCCCGGCTGTGGTGGTCAGTGTAATGCATGCACAGCAGCTCTGCTGTGCTGAAGGAGAGCTTGAAGCATTTGATGCAGCGGAATGGGAGCCACTCGATTTCCTGCACTTCGTTTCCCTCCACCTCGGCTTTCTCAAAGCTGCTTCTCTCCTCCTCTTCCATCAGCATAGGCCTCTCGTGCTCGTCGGCATAGACGGCGGTGAAGTAACCCCCCAGCTTGCTGGCGTGCTGCTTCTTTGGGAACACTCCCGGGTGGCGCTTCATGTAATGGGACACAATGCCCTTCTTGCTGAAGGACTGGAAGGAGCAAAGGGAGCACTTTTTCTTCTCCACTGCGCGCCGGAGCTCCTCGCTGAGCTGCGGGGAGTCATCCTTGGGCGGGGACGGGATGATCACCTTGTTGGGCTTGTCGCTGATGGTCCTGGAGGCTGCCAGGCAGTGCGTGTAGTATGCGTCAATGTCATGGCGCTTCTGGTAGTGGGCTGCCAGCCCTTTGCGGATGGGGTTGGTGTAGGCACACAGAGCGCACTTGAACAAGTTGTTCTTGCCCTCTGGTTGTGCTCGGACATTGTTGTGTTTGATGCGATAGTGCCTGGCAATCCCCTTCCTGGTGGAGCAGAAGTACTTGCAGAGCTGGCACCGGAACACAGTGTGGGAGACCAGGTGCGAGGTAGAGAAGTGAGAAGTGGACACGGGCTCCTCTCCTACCTCCTCCTCAGTGATGGACACTTGGGAGGGGCTCACTTCAGTGGTTATCTCGGGCTCAATGGACACTGGCAGCTTCGGGGGCGACTGGGAAAAGACATCAAATTCAGGCTGGTTGTGATACTTCTCATAGTGGATTTTGAGCTTCTCCAAAGTGCCATGAGTGTACGGACACAGTTTGCAGCGGTAGGCACCGTACCCTTGCTTGAAGATCCTGCTTGTCTCCTCCACGTCATTCTGGGCTATGTCGGCAGATTGCTCCACATCATGCACGAAGTCCTCAGCGGTCACCTTGATGGACGGGTGTCGCTTCTGGTAGTGGGTCAGGACGCCGTGGATGCGGGTGTTGATGTATGGGCAGTGCCTGCACTTGTAGACAGCGCCAGGGTTAATGTCAATGTCCTGGGCAAAGTCGGCGGCCTTCACTTTCATGCCAGGGTGCTTCTTCCCATAATGGGTGAGAAGGCCGTGCAAGTTGTTATACTCTGACTGGCACACGGTGCACTGGTACGGGGTGGAGGATATGGCGGGGTTGGCGGAAGCTAGTTGGATGCTCTTCTCTGGGGAAAGGCTTGCATCCTCTGGGCATTCAGCTTCCTGCTCGGGGAGTGGAGGGGGCATAGTGTTTTCACAACTCATGGGGCCCACCAACTCTTCGGTTGGAGGAAGGGGGTTCTCCACAGCATCTTTCTCCTTAATTATGTCCAGCAGCACCGACTCGTCACCATTCATGGCCCAGGGGTGGAATGCTTGGTAGTGATTGGTGATGTCCCAGATGGAGAGAGCTTCAAAAACACAGTCTCTGCATCTGTATGTTTTGGCTTCAGCTGGCATCGTGAGAGAGGGAGGGGATGGGTCTGGCCCAGCCCAGAGTTTAGTAGCCATGTAAGTATAGTCGACGTAATGCTCCGGGTGCCTCCTCTGGTAATGAAGGAGCAAGCCAGTGGGCTCTGTGTGCGAATAGATGCACCACTCACAGTGGTAGCCAGCTTCTATCAAGCCATCTAGAAACGCCCACCGCATGATGGATGTGACGGTGGCCTTCAGGGCAGGGTGGTCTTTCTTGATATGCTTCCTCAGTGCATAAAAGTAGGGGGAGGTATAGGAGCACTGCCTACATTTGAGTGCTCGGAGTTTCGTTTTGTCCCGCTCCACATTTGAGGCAGGGACAAGCACACAACTGGCAGGCTTCCTCTGGTTCCGATCACAGAGGCTTCGAATGGTGGCCGTGTGTTGCCGGATCACATCCGCATTGGCCTTGAAGTCTCGGTGCTTCTTCTGATAATGAATGAGGACACCTTTGACCGTCCGGTTCCCATAATCACAGTGCTGGCAAAAGAACATCTCGTTCTCCACAGGGGGGCCATCTCGCTCAGAGCTGCTTCGGTTCAGCTGCATGGGGGCAGGTGGCCGAGGGGAGCCTTGGGGCCCCTCAGCCCCTCTCATCACTGCAGCTGTGGGAGGAGCCTGTCTGATATATTTGGCAGTAACCTTTATTTCTGGGTGTCTTTTCTGGTAGTGGACAAGCACTCCCACAACTGACCGATTGCTGTAGGAACAGTGTTTGCAGTAGTAAAGCTCAGTACTGAGGTCTGGTGGCGGGGGTTGTGGGGGGGGTGGGGAACCCATGTTGGACATTTTGGGAGACATTGGAGCACCCACCTCAAATGATAATTGAGAAAGGGCAGAGCCCCTGTCCACAGACACCATTCGCATGGTTTTCTGGATCCTAAAGTAGGAAGCCTTTTCTTCAGGGTGTTTCTTCTGATAATGAACCAAGACAGAATGCATGTTGGGGCTGGCGAATGAGCAAACATCACAATCGTAAACGACAACGGTGTTAACCGAGGGGTCCTTCTGATTTTCACATTCTGGAGAAAAGGTCTTTGAAGGAGTGTTTTTATTAAATGTAGCCGGCATACCACCACCACGAGACACAGGAGTGGAAGTTGCCATGTTTTTGGGAGCCGAATTCAGAATCTCGCGCAGAGTCTGCGATTCCGTACTCAGCCCCTCTTGCTGCTCCACGACATAGCTTGAAAATATCATCGCATTGTTAATCTTAACCGTGGGATGCATTCTTTGGTAATGTGGCATCAGGCTTCTCACATTCGGGCTAGTGTAGGAACAAAACCGACACCGGTAGATCAGGTCCGAGTGGTCAAAGTTGAGCACGTTCATGGCTTCTGGATGGTGTTCGCCGTAATGCTGCTGCAGATCTTCGAAGTTGGTATAATCGATGTAGCATTCCAGGCACCTGTACACCGCACTGTGATCATTGGGGTCCAAGATGTACCTAAAGCTGAATTTAATGTACGGGTGCATTCG